CTCCTCCCCCTGCTCCTCCTCCTCCTCCTCCTCCTCCTCCTCCTCTGACGATGATGGTGCTAGACGCATCGAGACCCCAATGGCGCGATGGCAACCCGAGAGACACGACTGCGGGGCCGGCAGGCCGTCAGTGCCCCGAGCTGCCGGGCCGGCCCGAAACCTGGGGCCGCCGAGCCCGCAGGGGCCCGCGCTGCCGGCGCACGAGCGCGCCGCGCCAAACGGCCCCGCGGTCGCCCGCCCCTCCCTGCTCTCTCCTCGCCGCGCCGCCTTGCCTCTCCACCATGCTAGCCTGAAGTCGGGCGTGCCCCCCTACAGGGGGATTCTGGGCGAAGAACGCAAAACTGCTCACAAAATAGCCCTCCAAATATGCAGAAGTAGACAAGGAATCGTCCCCAGACTATTTTTTGACTATTTTTGAATTTCCCCCCTGAGAGGGACAAGCCCGACTTAATGCTAGCCTGGTAAGGCTTCGGGCTGCGCGCCGGATGGCCCCCAGGGCATCCCCACCGGCCCCGACAGGCTCCCCGAGTGGCCACGAGGGCGGTCTCGGCACCCTGGCGCCGTCTCGGCGGCGCCCCTGCGGCGTTCCGCGCCTCAGGGTTGGGGTGTCGAGGCTGCCCCCGGGCCCCATGCCTCGGGGGTCCCGCTGCGGCCAGCTCGGACTACTCGGGAGGCCTGTTGAGCCCGGCGGGAGCCACCTGCGGGGGGCAGGGCCGTCTGTGCGCAACCCGAGGCCTTACTCACGCGGGCCGTCAGCAGGCCGTTGTTTTCTGGGCCGTGGGCCACGTTCGCAGAACCAGAGGGCGATCCGCGCTGAGAGATGCCCCCGGCGACGGCCAGTGACAAAGCGAATGGCGGCCAAATTAGTGAGGTGGGCTGGGGATGGCTCCGGGGCCCTGGCGGCGGCTTGGCCGCCGTCGGGATGGGACGGCCGCCCTGCGCCGCGCGCAGTGACGCTCCGCAGGCGCGGCCGCGTGGCCCTCCGCCTCTTGGTGATGGGCGAGTCACTTGCGGGACGGTGCCGTCCGCGCCTGCGGGCCACCTCAGAAGAGGCCCATGAAATGGCCGAAGGAGTCGGCCCGGTGCACGCAGCTCAGGACAACCGCGTACCACTCCTCCCGCGGCCAGCCGCCCCCCGTCCCGGCCTCGGCGAGATCGAAGGCCGCCGCGACCGGGGTGATGTTCGTGGTGATGATCAGGTGCGCGTGGCGGTGCCGGTGGCGCTCTCCAGCCTGGCGCGGACGCCGGCGTCTGGCACAGCGACGTCTCCCTCCCCTCGAGGGTGATGCTCGTGCTGGTGGCGGCTGTGCGCTCCCCGGGCAGGCGGCGGTGCGGGCCCTGCGGTGGGCCTTAGAGGCTCTCCGGGCGGAGCTGGCGATCGTGGCGGCGCATCCCCTGCCAGCGCTGGTGGGGGCCTCGAGGTGGCTGCCGCGGCAGGCGTGATGCAGGCGGCCAGCAGGACGAGAGGCAAGAGCGCGCCGGGGAGCGCCCGCGCCGAGGTGGGAGGTGACGCCGCGAGCCTCGACGAGGCCACCGGAGCTGCTGGGGCCGTGCGTGCGGCGGCGGCTGCCGTCCTTGCGGCTGCCCCCTCTTGGCGGCGGCGGCGCCATCGAGAATCACAGCGCAGCAGAAATAGAGAGAGCGAGAGAGAGAGAGAGAGCGGGAGAGAGCAGCCTACACGCTGCCCGCCTCCAACTCCGAGTCCAGGCCGTGCGGGCCTGAGGTCTCGAAGCGCTGCATCGGCCGCTGGTAACCCAGACATGCGACGTCCTGACTTTGCCCACGCGCGTTCCCCGGAAGTCCCGACCCTGTCCCTGCAGGACCCGTTTCTCATCCTTGACAAGAGCCGCCCGCCCCGGTGTTGTTCGCGACCCGAGCACGTCTGGCAAGTCGGTGGCCGTTGGGCGCCACCGAGGTTGAGTCGGGCGTGTCCGCCTACAGGGAGATCTTCGATAAAAAAACAAAAATACTCCCAAATTGTCGAAAAACAAAAAAAACTCAAAAAAATAGTCCCCAGACGATTCCTTGACTATTTTTGAGTTCCCCCCCTGTAGAGGGACAGGCCCGACTTCACACGGAGGCTGCCGCGGGCCTGGCGCGCGCGCGCGCCGAGGCGGCCCGCTGCGGGGCGCGGGCTCCGCGAGGCGGGGCGCGGCCGCGGAGCCTCCGCCCCGCGGGGCCTCCGCCCCCACGAGCCGCGCGGGGCCCCCGCCCCGCGCCGTGCGGCCCGCCGCGGGCGCGCGAGGCGGGGCCTCGCCCGCGGTGCGCAGCCCGAGGCTCGAGCGAGGCAGCCCGCGGAGTCGGACGACGACGACGACGACGGCGACGACGACGGCGACGACGACGACGACGACGACGGCGGCGGCGGCGACGACGACGACGGCGGCGGCGGCGACGGCGACGACGACGACGACGGCGACGGCGACGACGACGGCGGCGACGACGACGGCGGCGGCGGCGACGGCGACGACGGCGGCGGTGTGCTGCCTGTCAACCAAGGAGGCGGCACTCCACGTCCGGGGGGGGGTGGCGTTAAGGGGGGGTGGAGGGGCGGCCCACAGGTGGGGGGTGAAGAAAGGAGCCCTGAAGGGGCTCTTTAGGGTTCCATGTTGAAGCCCTATCTTGGCTCCACCAGGGGCCCTAGTGGGGGCGCCTTTGGGGCCCCTTTCCTCACCCCCACTTGAGACCACCTCCCTTCGGCACCCGCCCGATCCACGTCCGACCCCAGGGGGGGCCTGCAGGGGGAGTCTCTGCGGGCCTTCCCCCCGTCAGCCTCTGGAGGCCCTGGCGCGGTCGGAGTCTTCGAGTTGGCCTCGAGGGCCAGCCGGGCCCGTCGCGGGCCCGCAGCGGCCAGCAGGTGCCCTGCCTGCCACAGACGCGGCACTCTCGTCTGTCGACTCCACACCCCTCCTCCGCCCGAGGCCGGGGCCCACGCGCGGCGCTCGTGCTGCGCGTGCGCGCGTCGCGCCCGGGCCGTCGGCCAGCGGTGCCCGCTCGCCGCTCCCGGCCACCTCCTCCTCCTCCTCCTCCTCCTCCTCCTCCTCCTCCTCCTCCTCCTCCTCCTCCTCCTCCTCCTCCCCCTCCTGCTCCTCCTCCTCCTCCCCCTCTTCACTCCTCTCTCCCCCCCTCCGCCCAGAGCGGCCTGCACGCCCCGAAGATCCCATCGGACGGCTCGCTCCGCGCGCTCGAGACGTCCCCGGAAACGATCCCATGGAGTACGCTCTGCTCACTGGGCTTCTCGGTCGACCGCTTCGCCTCCCGCCCCCCCCCCCTCTCCTCCCTCTCCTCCCTCTCCTCCCTCTCCCCCCTCTCCTCCCTCTCCTCCCTCTCCTCCCTCTCCTCCCTCTCCTCCCGCCCCCCCCCCCAGACCCTCGACGTCATGCTTTTCTCACGGCGTGGACTGCCACGGTCAGGACCCCTTCCCCAGGACCGACTTTTGATCCAGTGCCGCTTCTGGATGGTCCCAGGGCCCAGCGAATATGTCTCCAGAAGCTAAACATGTCAAATGTTAGCCAGCATGGACCGCAAACAATGATTCCTGGCAGTCTATGTGGTGCAATCTAGGTGGTGCAATGCGCACATGCTACGCTCTAGGTGGTGCAATCCATGTGGTGCAAGCGCAGCAATGCAACGCAATGCAACGCAATGCAATGCACAGATATGGAACGCAGCGCAAAGAAGTGCAACGCAATGCAAAGCACCACACGAGGCAATGCGAAGCGATGCTGCGCAAGGCAACGCACAGCACAGCAAACCAATGCACAACATTGCGAGGCAAGGCAGAGCAAGGCAGAGCACGGCAAAGCAAACCATTGCAACCCAATGCCACACAATACGAACCAATGCAGAGCAACGCGGCGACGAGCCGGCCTCCGCCGCTGGGGCCCAGCGGCGAAGGCGGCGCCGCCTTCGGCGACGGGCGGCGAGGAGCCGGCCGGACCGCCACTGGGGCCTCTGCACGCATCTTGCTTTGGGGGGGAAACCTCCCGTCGCCATTTTGGAAGGGGCCCTGGGACACACACACACACACACACACACACACACACACACACACACACACACACACACACACACACACACACACACACACACACACACACACACACACACACACACACACACACACACACACACACACACACACACACACACACACACACACACACACACACACACACACACACACACACACACACACACACACACACACACACACACACACACACACACACACACACACACACACACACACACACACACACACACACACACACACACACACACACACACACACACACACACACACACACACACACAACACACACACACACACACACACACACACACACACACACACACACACACACACACACACACACACACACACACACACACACACACACACACACACACACACACACACACACACACACACACACACACACACACACACACACACACACACACACACACACACACACAACACACACACACACACACACACACACACACACACACACACACACACACACACACACACACACCACACACACACACACACACACACACACACACACACACACACACACACACACCACACACACACACACACACACACACACACACACACACACACACACACACACACACACACACACACACACACACACACACACACACACACACACACACACACACACACACACACACACACACACACACACACACACGCACACACACACACACACGCACACACACACACACAAAAAAAAAAAACAAATAAGAGGACTCCCCATATTTTCTCATATTTCCTGGGTGTTTTGTCCTCCCCCCCCCACACTTCCCATGTTTTCCCATCTTTTCTCGGGAATCGACGATTCATTGTGTCTGTGAGTGCTTTTTCCCTCCTGAAGCCTGTCACGACGCGAGGCGCTCTCGGCCTGAAGGGCGCCCCCATCCGGCAGCGCCGCCGCCCTGCGGTTGGGGGGGGGGGGGGGGGCGCTGCCGGCTGGGGGGCATCCGCTGCGATGGACTGCATCATGCGGCGCACCTCCTCGACACCTCGGCGAGGCGCCCGCTGCCCCGAGGAGGAGGAGGAGGAGGGAGGAGGAGGAGGAGGAGGAGGAGGAGCAGGAAGCGGGAGGAGGAGGAGAGGAGGAGGAGGAGGAGGAGGAGAGGGAGGAGGGAGGAGGAGGTGGAGGAGGAGGAGGAAGAGGAGGAGGAGGAGGAGGAGGAGGAGGAGGAGGAGGAGAGGAGGAGGAGGAGGAGGAGGAGGAGGAGGAGGAGGAGGAGGAGGGAGGAGGAGGAGGAGAGGAGGAGAGGAGGAGGAGGAGGAGGAGGAGGAGGAGGAGGAGGAGGAGGAGGAGGATGAGAGGGCAAGGGACCTCGCCGCTGCGCAGCCGCCCACGAACGGCGGCCTACGGACCCCGAGACCTGATCGGTCGGGCCCGCAATCGTAGAATCGCAACGACACGCGTAATGATCCTCCTCCTCCTCCTCCTTCTTCTCCTCCTCCTCCTCCTCCGTAGCCATTTTGGCTCAAGGTTTTGGTTTCCCCTGGGAACAAAGTGGATACCGCTAGTCCGCGGCCAGCTTTTATCTTTCGCCTGGTTCGCCCCAGGCTGAGCGGTGTGTGGTCCGCCCCACGCATCGCAGCTTTCACCACGACTAGGCTGTGCGCTGGTCGGTGGTCAGTCCATAGAGCCACTCCCTCGGCATGGCGTGGGGCAAGGCAAAAGGCGGAGGCAAGGGCTTGTCGTACAGCGATGTCTGGCCTCCTCTGGTGCCTGGTCCTCTGTTCTGCAAGGGCGGCGGCGGTGTGCAGGATCAGACAGACAACCAGCTGCCAGGTAAGAAGTGGAAGTGCCAGGCTTGTGGTTGCTCCAAGAATGCCGCTCGGTTCTATTATTGCAGACACTGTGGAGCCTATAAGCAAGTCCCAACTTCGGCATGGTCTGGTGATGCAGCGCGTCAGTTGTTCGGATACGGGCAGCTCAACGGTGGCGCTGCGTGGGGCAAGGGCCCAGGCGGTGGCGAAGCAGGGCAGCAACAGAAAGGTGCTGGAGGTGGCTACCCCACGGGAGGCGGCCAGCAACCCGTTCCTGCTGGTGCTGCTGCTGCAAAGTTCACCGCCGCGGAGTACGAGACCATGGCAGGCTTCGCTGAACGTATGGGAGACGCCGCAGGCGCAGCAGCTCATCGTCGTGCAGCCAAGGCCCTCACCGCGCCGAAGCAGGCAGAAGAAGCTATTCAAGTTCGTCTCAATCGGGCTCACTGGAAAGTGCATGGGATCAACAAGCGTTTGGAGTCGGCAGTTGAGAAGTACGAACAGTACGAAGCTCAGCTCAACAACCAGAAGACGGCGGTGCTGGAGCTGCGCGCCGAGCTCACCAATGCAGAAGGCGAGCATTCGACTCTCTTGCAGGATGTGGTTGAGTCTCAAGAGGCAGCTAAGCAGCCACCCACGGCCACGGTCAAGCTGGCGTTGGAGGACATCATGGATCAGGAGCGTCTCGCGAAGGTCTTTGACGTCAGCGTGTCGGACCTTTTCAAGTGCGACGGTGTGGAGCTTGACGAGTCGGACAACATCGAGATCGAGTCACGCGCGCAACAGCTCAAGGCAGGGCTCACGGCGATGGCGGGCACCCTCTTCGCCGAAGCCAAGCAGAAGGTCGACGGCCTCAAGTCCGCTCACGCGCTGCACACCAAGAGGCTTGCGGCCAAGCGGCCTCGAGTGGTGGAGCAGGAAGCGGCCTTCGAGAAATCTCCTGATGCTGGTGCACACGCTGAAGGAGATGAGGGCGCAGGAGCCGTTCCAGGCGGTGGTGGCGCAGCGGCGTCAGGCGCAGCGGGCGCTGCGGCAGCGGCTCCGTCCACGCCTTCTACGGCAGGCACGGCTCGTGAGCGCGCTGACCGCATTGCCGCGGCCACTCACACAGTCAACGATTAGCTACCCCCTGGAGGCTAGCCCTGATGCTCGTCGCCTCCTCGAGTCGTCGCTCGATTGGGGTCCGCAGGTCCTTCGTTCGGAAGGCTGCCTCCAAGGGGGGTTTGAAGCAGGTTTGTTACCTCTGCACTCGGAGTTCCGCTCAGTTGCGCAAGATGCCCTCATCCGCAAGAGGGGTATGTTTCGACGCAAGGCTGATCGGACCCCTATCTCTGCCCCTGTGTCTTTGCTGGACTTCGCGATGACAAGGGTTTTGTATCCTGTTCACTCCCTTGGCAAGTCAGGGTGCAAGGATGCCACGGACGGGGCTGTCCCGCACGTGGCCACTTCTGTTTGCCCCCCCATGGAGGGGGGATCTCGTCCCCGCGTTGAGCTCGTCGCTCTCGGAGATTTTAAGTCAGGACGCTCCAAGGGCAAATTCGAACCCTTGGATTCTCAGAGGTCTCAGCACCCCTCTGAATTTTTCAATTCGACTGCGCTTTCGGTCAGCAATGTCAGCCTGCCTGTGCCTGCTCCTCTCGTCGGCAGCGAGCAGCCATCGGCCTCTAACTCTGACAGTATGGTGCCACTCACGATTCAGACCATTAACGCCAACTCGTGGGGCACGTTGAAGGGTTTGCTCGAAGATTGTTCTGCCCACATTGTGCTCGGTCAGGAGCACCGTCTGATTTCCAAGGAGGACATCGAGCAGGCCAGTGCTTGGTGCATAAGGCATGGATGGAAGTCGGTTTGGGCCCCTGCCATCCCCACCCAAGCGCAGGACACGAGTGGAGGTGTTGCCATTTTCGTGCGCTCTTGGATGGGGCTTCTGGAAGTCGAGGGTGCCATCACGACGCCTGGGCGATGCATCGCGTGCTCTGCGCACCTCCCTGGGACTCCCCCCATCCTGGTTGCCTCTGCCTACCTTCACCACTCAGAAGGCCTCAGCGATGACAATCTGTCTCTGCTCGCGAGGCTCGGTGAGCAACTTTCGGCTGTTGGCCAGCCGTGGGTGCTCGATGCCGACTTTAATCTGGAGCCTGCTGAGACCGAGTCTTCCAGTTTTGTGTCTGAGTTGAGGGCTTCCCTCATCTTCCCCCTTGTCGCGACGCACTATCCTCTGGGCCCTCCCTCGTTGTTCGACTACTTCGTTTGTTCGGGCGGTCTGGCGAAGGGTCTCAAGTCGGTCGATACGAGATTGGATACGGAGCTCTCCCCCCACAGGCCCGTCCAGATGGCGTTCCACCCCCAGCTGGCGGTGCTTCACGCTCTCTCGTTCAGGAAGCCCCCCCCCCCCCCCTGCCGTGTCAGGTGGTGTTTGGCCCTGCCCCCGGAGAAAGTTGTTGGGCAGGGGAACTTGCGCTGGCGTCCGAGGCTGAACGTTGTCTTCAGAATGGGGACGGCCAGGGGGCCAAACGTCTGCTGGGCCCTCTTTACAGGAAGTGGGCCGACCACGCTGAACGTGACCTTATTCCCCTGGTGGGCGTTGCCCCCCCCAAGCTTGGCTCCAGGGGCCTGGGTCCTCAACTTGTGTGGAAGCCTACCTTGGGCCAGGATGGTAAGGTGCGTTACCCTGGTCATCGCGCGATCCGTTGACTCGGGCAACAGCTTCGCGCCTTCATGCGCGCTCGGCGCGGAGGCGCTGCTGCCGCTGCTGCCAGGCTCAGTTGCGTGTTGGTGGAGCCCCCGCCCAACATCACGGCCGCGGTGGAAGACTACGAGCCGCTGTTCAAGCGAGCGGCTCAGGAGGTCTCCGCCCTTGGCTCTGGTGGGGATGTGGAGTCGCTCGCTGATCTGCACACTCAGGTTCACGAGGCCGTCAAGGCCGCCAGCTCCAAGTACGCCGCCAGGAGTCGATCAGACTGGGCTGCTTGGCTGCATGTTGGCATCAATCAAGGGGCTAAAAGGGTTCATCAGTGCATTAAAGATCCTGTTCCGTGGGTCCCTTCTTCTACTCTCTCTGCTGCTGGGCGCGTCGTCAGTGATCCTCTCTCCCTGCTCAATGCGGAGGGAGAGAGGTTCAGCAGCATATGGGGTGAGGGTCGAGGGGCCGAGTTTGATGGTCAGGTTGTCGAGCCTCTTCCCCGACCCACGGCCAGCGAAATCCGTGCTATCTCTAAGTCCTACAAAGATTCTTCGGCCGTGGCTGTGGACGGATTTCACTGCAAGCATTTCTCGTTGTTGCCTGATGCTGCTCTCGATTGCCTCAGTGCCATTTTTTCGGTCATGGAAGCGCTGGGCTGCCTTCCTCCGCAGATCTCTGTCGTCACTCTGGCGCTTCTGCCGAAGCCTACTGGTGGATGCAGGCCGATTGGGGTGTTCTGCTCCTGGTTCAGGGTTTGGGGCCGCTGTCGGCGGCCCTTTGCCTTGAACTGGGAGCAGGAACACCCCGAACGGTACTGGGCTGCTGGCATGTTTCGCGGAGCTGCCGATGTGGTTTGGCGTCAAGCTGTCACCGCCGAGACGGGTCTTGCCATCGGCGAGTCCTCATGTTCTGTTCTCTTCGATCTGCGTAAGTTCTATGAGAACATCAGTCTGAAAGAGCTCGAGGTCCGTTGCAAGAAACATGGAGTCCCTCTTGCGATTGCCCGTCTTTGCATTTATGCCTACAGGTGTGGGCGCTTTCTCTGTCTTGGAGGGTGGCTGGAAGGCCCCTACTTCTGCCTCAATGGGGTTATCGCTGGGTGCTCGATGGCCACCACGTTCATTCGTGTCTTCTGCCAGGACGGATACGATTCTCTTCCTTCCATCCCCATGCTCGACCTCGATGTGTATATCGACGACCAGGGTCTCTCGTGTACGGGCCAACATCGGACCGTGGTCAAATCGATCGTTGAAGGGGCCAAGGCGCTCCACGGCATCGTTGAGTCTTGTTTCGGTTGCTCCCTCGCCCTGGATAAGACCGCTGTTGTCGCTTCTTCGAAGGCCCTTGGGGATGAGGTTTCTGTAGAGATTTCGCATTTAGGAGGTCATTTTACGTCGAGTGCTGCCAACTTAGGCGTTGACTACACGGCTGGCCGCGCGCTTAGGGTGGCGGGGCGCTCGGTTAAGTCCAAAATGCGCATCGCCAAGGCTGTGAGGGCGGCCAAGAGATTAAAGCGCCAGATTAAAGTCATCTCTCGGCCGCAGGTTCTTA